CCTCTCTCAGTTCTGCCCCACGAGAATGGGGTGAGGGAAAGCATTGCCTCAGGCTCCCCTCTCTCAGTTCTGCCCCACGAGGATGGGGTGAGGGAAAGCATTGCCTCAGGCTCCCCTCTCTCAGTTCTGCCCCACGAGGATGGGGTGAGGGAAAGCATTGCCTCAGGCTCCCCTCTCTCAGTTCTGCCCCACGAGGATGGGGTGAGGGAAAGCATTGGCTCAGGTTCTCCTCTCTCAGTTCTGCCCCACGAGGATGGGGTGAGGGAAAGCATTGCCTCAGGCTCCCCTCTCTCAGTTCTGCCCCAGGAGGATGGGGTGAGGGAAAGCATTGCCTCAGGCTCCCCTCTCTCAGTTCTGCCCCACGAGGATGGGGTGAGGGAAAGCATTGGCTCAGGCTCCCCTCTCTCAGTTCTGCCCCACGAGAATGGGGTGAGGGAAAGCATTGCCTCAGGCTCCCCTCTCTCAGTTCTGCCCCACGAGGATGGGGTGAGGGAAAGCATTGGCTCAGGTTCTCCTCTCTCAGTTCTGCCCCACGAGGATGGGGTGAGGGAAAGCATTGGCTCAGGCTCCCCTCTCTCAGTTCTGCCCCACGAGGATGGGGTGAGGGAAAGCATTGCCTCAGGCTCCCCTCTCTCAATTCTGCCCCACGAGGATGGGGTGAGGGAAAGCATTGCCTCAGGCTCCCCTCTCTCAGTTCTGCCCCACGAGGATGGGGTGAGGGAAAGCATTGCCTCAGACTCCCCTCTCTCAGTTCTGCCCCAGGAGGATGGGGTGAGGGAAAGCATTGCCTCAGGCTCCCCTCTATCAGTTCTGCCCCACGAGGATGGGGTGAGGGAAAGCATTGCCTCAGGCTCCCCTCTCTCAGTTCTGCCCCACGAGGATGGGGTGAGGGAAAGCATTGCCTCAGACTCCCCTCTCTCAGTTCTGCCCCAGGAGGATGGGGTGAGGGAAAGCATTGCCTCAGGCTCCCCTCTCTCAGTTCTGCCCCACGAGGATGGGGTGAGGGAAAGCATTGCCTCAGGCTCCCCTCTCTCAGTTCTGCCCCACGAGGATGGGGTGAGGGAAAGCATTGCCTCAGACTCCCCTCTCTCAGTTCTGCCCCACGAGGATGGGGTGAGGGAAAGCATTGGCTCAGGCTCCCGTCTCTCAGTTCTGCCCCACGAGGATGGGGTGAGGGAAAGCATTGCCTCAGGCTCCCCTCTCTCAGTTCTGCCCCACGAGGATGGGGTGAGGGAAAGCATTGCCTCAGGCTCCCCTCTCTCAGTTCTGCCCCACGAGGATGGGGTGAGGGAAAGCATTGGCTCAGGCTCCCCTCTCTCAATTCTGCCCCACGAGGATGGGGTGAGGGAAAGCATTGCCTCAGGCTCCCCTCTCTCAGTTCTGCCTCACGAGGATGGGGTGAGGGAAAGCATTGCCTCAGGCTCCCCTCTCTCAGTTCTGCCCCACGAGGATGGGGTGAGGGAAAGCATTGCCTCAGGCTCCCCTCTCTCAGTTCTGCCCCACGAGGATGGGGTGAGGGAAAGCATTGCCTCAGGCTCCCCTCTCTCAATTCTGCCCCAGGAGGATGGGGTGAGGGAAAGCATTGCCTCAGGCTCCCCTCTCTCAGTTCTGCCCCACGAGGATGGGGTGAGGGAAAGCATTGCCTCAGGCTCCCCTCTCTCAGTTCTGCCCCACGAGGATGGGGTGAGGGAAAGCATTGGCTCAGGCTCCCCTCTCTCAGTTCTGCCCCACGAGGATGGGGTGAGGGAAAGCATTGTCTCAGGCTCTCCTCTCTCAGTTCTGCCCCACGAGGATGGGGTGAGGGAAAGCATTGGCTCAGGCTCCCCTCTCTCAATTCTGCCCCAGGAGGATGGGGTGAGGGAAAGCATTGGCTCAGGCTCCCCTCTCTCAATTCTGCCCCACGAGGATGGGGTGAGGGAAAGCATTGGCTCAGGCTCCCCTCTCTCAGTTCTGCCCCAGGAGGATGGGGTGAGGGAAAGCATTGCCTCAGGCTCCCCTCTCTCAGTTCTGCCCCACGAGGATGGGGTGAGGGAAAGCATTGCCTCAGGCTCCCCTCTCTCAGTTCTGCCCCACGAGGATGGGGTGAGGGAAAGCATTGCCTCAGGCTCCCCTCTCTCAGTTCTGCCCCACGAGGGTGGGGTGAGGGAAAGCATTGGCTCAGGCAGCAGTCCACACATCTGGGACCCCCCTCTTTAGGGCAGTGGTTCCTTGCTGAGCTGGCTGTTGTTGGTGAGGCGGGGTTGTTGGCTTCTGTTTAGACTGGACCTCGGCTTCCATTGCCCTAGTGGTTTTGGTGCAGAGGCAAAACGCTCTCAAATATGATTCCCTGGGCTTTGCCTTCAGGGCTGTCTCTCCTTCAGAGGAGCTAGTCCCTCCAGTGTTACTGGCTGCAACTTACCACACTGAGGATCGTGGGAACCTTCAGAGTTCCTCCCCATCAGCTACCTTCAGAACCTTGGGACCCTGGATGAGAGGCTGAGACACATCCTCTGAGAGTTCTTGGATACTTCAGCTCCCAGGCGAAAAGTGAATTCCCTCTCCACTGGATGGATTCAGGTAACGATGTGAAAGCCCACTTTATAAACCATTTTTAGACTTCCTTGGGCTTCCCAGGTGGTGCTAGTGGCAAACAGCCTGACTGTCAACGCAGGAGACATAAGCCTCAGGTTTGACCCCTGGGCTGGGAAGATCTCCTGGAGGAGGGCATGGCAACCCACTGCAGTATTCTTGCCTGGAGAATCCCATGGAAAGAAAAGCCTGGCAGGCTATAGTCCTTGGGGTCACAAAGAGTCGGACACTATTGAAGTTACTTAGCAGTAGCAGATAGACTTCCTCATGGGGGAGTAAATGGAGAAGACATTCTCTCTCCTCAATACAGCTCTGAATAAATGAATGTATGTAAAAAAAAAATGTCATGTTCCCTTAAATTGGAAGCATGAATTTTCTTTTTACCATCTCTTTCTAATTTTTATTGTTATTGTAATTTACAGGTTTGAAGAGTATTTTGCAGCTGAAAATGAGGGCATAAGCCTTTGGATACTGGCCTATTTTGCAGCTGAAAATGAGGGCATAAGCCTTTGGGCGTTGTGTTTATGCCCCCTTCTCTTTGAGAGAGAAGGCTAGTACAGGAGAGCAGTATTCTGGCCTTTGTTCCTCATGCACATTCAGGTATAGAGATAGTCACTTTAGTTATTGTGAGCCTCAGTTTTCTTTGTCTGTAAAATGGGAGAAATTACCTCATTGACTTCCTACCTGAGAGGGCTTTACAATGATTTAATGCAGCGGTACGTAGGTTGGGGTCTTTGAACGCCCCCTCATTTGGATTGTGACAACCCCCAAAGTATCTCTAGACATTTTCAGATGTCTTTTGGGAGCCCATCTATCACTAGGTGAGACCTCTGGTAAGAATGAATGAATGACTTTAAGCTGATTGGGTGAGAGCCATCCTGGGGCTCAGAGTGGTTTGAAAAGATTAAGGATTTATGCTGTTCTATAGAATTTAATGGGTTAGACAACGAGGTCCTCTGCAGCTGCTTTCCCTGTGGTTGTGTTGAGTTTTATCAATAAAAGCATTGTATCCTTCATATTGAAGAAGGAAAATATATTTAGGCCAGTGAAAGGATAAGAATAAAATCAATGTATGTTGAATATTTGGTGGTGCTAGTGGTAAACAGTCTGCCTGCAATACAGGAGACACAGAAGATGCGGGTTTGATCCCTGGATCAGGAAAATCCCTTGGAGAAGGAAAAGGCAACCCACTCCAGTATTCTTTCCTGGGAAATCCCAGGAAATGGACGGAGGAGCCTAGGGGGCTGCAGGCCATGGGGTTGCAAAGAGTTGGATACGACCCAAGCAACTGAGCAGAAGATTTGTAAATGCACAATTTTGTTGCAATTCATGAAATCTAAATTGAAATAGAATGTAAAAAATTTTGGAGGTAGATCTACCAGCAGATCTAGGTCCATCAGATATATGAAGATATACAAGCAGGGTAACAAGGAGGAACATACAAAATGCTTATTTCTCAAATTCATGAGACTGAGGTTTACTTGGAACAGGGGTGGAGGAGAGGGCTGGGCTCTGGCTAAGTCCTTGCTGCCTTGGTAATGGCCCTGTCCTGAAGTTATGGTCAGCACAGAGAAAACAGCCTTTCAGAAGCGGGATAAATCATTTTGAGAACTCCACCCCTGTGGAGGGTGCTTGTAGTGGAGATAGACAAGGAGAAAGAACACAATAAAGGGCTTGGAAGTTTGCACAGGACGTTCGCCACGTCTGGTTTTCCTAACCCTGCCAGCCCAGTCATGGCCGGTGTAAATAAACCAGGTATTCATCAGTCAGTTCTGTTGCTCCGGCCCTGCCTTCCCCCATTGTTTTGCTACTTGGAAGAAAATGTTAGAGGGGGCACATTTCTTATAAGTTGTTAATTATTTTTTTTATTAGGATCCAAAAAGGTTGATAAGAGCAGGTTGAAAGTGGGAATGAGAAAACCAAAATGGAACTATTTGGATATAAAAGAAGTAAGAAAGTGCTTCAAAAAAGAACACAGAACTGTGTGGGAGAGAAAGTTTGATTTATAGACTGTATTATGTACATATTTTCAATTGAGCTCCTATCCTTACCTTTACATGTGAAACTAAAACAAACAGAAGAGACACACCGTTTTGCCAGCAGGTGGCACCGTAAGAACCTCCTATAAGAAAAGGGTGGCAAATGTATATTTTACCTTTCAGGAAAAGTCTAGGCATCAATGTAGACTCATATTTTTGGTAACGTTAGCAATATGCGTATATTGCTTTAAATGGCTTCAGAAGATTCATCTCTCCATTTTTCATCCTAGCATTGCTCCTTTAGTGAAACATTATACTCCCATAAAAGGGAAAAAAGACTAAGGTTTAAAACAAAATCTATATCTATGTATTTGTATTGTCTGCTACAGTTGCTAAAGTGATTATGACACATGTTACTATGTGGATATAGTGGATGATTAAAGATGAAGTAACTTAGATGTTCACCCTGTTCTCACATCCCTTTTCTGCTCTGGACTGTGAGGATTCCTTGTGCCCAAAGATCTCCCCAATGCTGAGCAATCTCTCAGACTCAGGGGGGATCCGGTGCCGGAGATAATGAGCTTTTCTGGCCTTTTCAAACAACTCCAAGTAGGTTGATGTTTGGGGCTTATCTTTGAAGTCTCCTCCACCTCCCACGGGATCCAGGGGGATTTGTTTTGCGGTGGTGTGGTCTGGCCTTGCGTTGGCATCATTTGATCTGGTCTCATCACTGTGCGCCGGTTCACTACCACCAGCTGGGCTGGAACTGGGGCCTCCGTCTACAGTGTGGGTGGAGACGTCTTGATTTTGACAGAGAAGAGAGATGCTCTCGTTGGAGCCTTTTCCTTTTGATGGGTTTACAGAATCTTTCTCTTGGGCTTGCAGCTTCTCTTCTATGAAGTGGGAAGTTCTGTTATTTTGAGATAGTGACTGCCTTTTACTTTTCATGGGGTCCTTGGGACCAATGTGATGGAAAGGAGGCATCTGGGACTTGGTTTTGGATATTTCTTGAGTCGTATTTGTTGTCAGTGCGCTGGAAAAGAAGATAAGAAGAAAAGCATTCTCTCAAAACTGATGAAGAGCTAATATTTATCATTTTCAAATTACTAGACCCTGGCTCCTTTTTGTGTGATATTAACTGAGGTAATAATGTGTGTGAACAGAGGATGAAGGGTGAGAATGGATGGTAACAATGTGGGGAAATGATTTTTCTTTTTCTTGTAAACTTTTTATTTTTGTATTGGAGATTGGAGTATAGCCATTTAACAATGTTGTGATGGCTTCAGATGTGCAGCAAAGCCACTCGGCCATACATACACATGTATCCAGTCTCCTCCAAACTCCACTCCCTTCCAGCCTGCCACATAACACTGAGCAGAGTTCCCTGTGCTATATAGGAGGTCTTTGTTGGTTATCTGTTTTAAATGCAGCATTTTTCTTAAGAAGGAGAAGACAGCACTTTCTCAGGGGGAGGATGATTTAAAGAGGTCAGTTGAAAGGACTCAATGGCATATGCATTAGTTTAGTAAGCATCTTCTTACCTAGGTTTGTTAGCCTGCAGAACTCTGTGCTTCTGTCCTCCCTGTGATGAGAGCATGAGAACATCTTCTGGTCTCTTCTGACTTTCATTCCCAAAGTAAGAGCAGAGCTTTTTCTTGATGATATCTGCTTTGAGTTAATTAATAGGTGCTATGAGTTGAAATGTGGGTTTCCCAGGTGGCGCTAGTGGTAAAGAACTTGCCTGCCAATGCAGGAGACATAAGAGACGCAGATTTGATCCCTGGGTCAGGAAGATTCCCTGGAGAAAGGCATGGCAACCCACTCCAGTATTCCTGCCTGGAGAACCCTATGGACAGAGGAGCCTGGGGGGCTACAGTCCATGGGGTCGCAAAGAGTCGGGCATGACTGAAGTGACTTAGCACGCACATACACAAGTTGAACTGCATCCTTCCCAAATGTCATCTGTAGAAGCCCTAATGCCCAGCACCTCAGAATGAAACCTTATTTGGAGACAGGGCCTTTACAGAGATAATTAAGTTAAGATGAGGTCATTAAGGTGAGCTGTTGACCATTATGACTGGTGTCATTATAATAAGGAGAAATTAGGATATAGAGACACAGACTGAGGGAAGGTGAAGGGAAGAGACACAGGGAGAAGATGGCCACATACAAACCAAAGAGAGAGGCCTGGAACAGAGCCTTCTTTTCCAGCCTGCAAAGGCACCACTCTGCCAGGACCTTAATTTTGGACTGTAGACCTCCAGAACTCTGAGAAGACATGCCTGTTGTTTGAGCCAGCTAGTTAATGGCAACTTGGTAGGGTAGCCCTAAAAACTAACACAGTAAGAGAAGAAGGAAAGAATGCCAGAACCTGGTTCTCTGGGCAGAGAAACCATGTGTGAATACCACTGGATCACATCACACACTCGGCTGATCTGGCCTGAGGAATGGAAACAGAAAAACCTGAGGCAGTTTCTCCAGTGTTTACCTAGAGTATGTTGTAGAGGATTCAGAAACACTGAGGTCAGAGGTTTAAACTGGCTGGGACCGTGGAGGTTTTGTCTGAATGTTTTACTTGGCAAGCATGATGTTCTCAAAACAAAATGCCTGGGTGTGAGCCATACCCAGAGCCGGGGTCCTGTTGTTACATACGCCTTGATTGTGTGACCTCCTTCCCACCTGCGCCAAGAGCTGCACCTTCTGACGTGAGTAAGTGGGTTTTTCTCTCTTTGACTTAATGTTCAGAATCTTGTAGTCGTAGCTGCTGTAGAAGACCTGGTTTGTTTTCAAGACATCTCAAGAGCTGGTCACTTGGAGTTGAAAGCCTTGCACTCGTTTGCTCTAAGCAAAGTGAGTTCCCTAAACCAACCCTGGGGTTGGTAGGCACCAGGCAAAGGAAATATGACCAGATAAAGGGCCTCTAATTTATATTAAACTCCTAATATTCTTTCATCTAATAACTTCTTGGTGAGGTAGTCAAGGAAGAGATAGTCCTTTTAGGGTCTCTCTTCTATTGTCTTGAATGTGTGTGTCTGTGTGTGTGTGTCCCCATCTAGTTATCCAATTTAACAGGGATGTTTGGGTGCCTACTTTGTGCCAGGGAGTATATTCTTGACTCTGGTTTTCTTCCCCCTGGACATATAATTAATCATAAAGTACAATTCTGTACTCTAAATATCTCAAAATGCCGGCCCCCTTAAGATGCAATCTCACTTTCCAAATATCTTAATATACTCATTTTTTTTCCCTACCTGTCTGATGCCCTAGTTTAGGCCTTTAAACCCTGGTCTGAACTCTGGAATCCTTCTATCTAGTCTACCTTAAAGTTTGCTGCCAGAGTGATCCTTATCTCATTTGGAGATGTAATCTCCCCATTTCCAAACCCCATAGGGTGAAATCTAAACTCTTTTTCAAGATCTGTGAAGCTATTCATGATTGGAGACCCTGCCTACTCTGCTTTGCCTCTAAATATTACACCTGACCCTTCTTACCACCGCTTACACCCCTCCAGTACTGAGCAACTTGTAGCAAGTCATTCTCATGTATGCACATTTGTACATACTGTTCTTATCATGTGTAGAAACATTCCATGTGTTCTCATGACAAACGACCCACCACCCCTCCTCCACTCACCTTTCTCTTTCTCCTCTAAGATTCTGTTCATACCCTGCCTCTGTTGGGACATCCCGCCTGAGCCCATTTGCTAGACATGGGAACCTTCCCACGCTTCTGTTCTGCTTTGTAAACAATGAATTTAGCAATTAGCATTTTCTGTTATAATTTCTTGTGAGCACAGTTACCTTCTAGTCCAAATGTGAGCATCTTGAGGGCACAGACCATGCTTTTCATGTTTGTATTCTTGCCTCCATTGGAGTTGCTGTGAAAGTGTTTTTTTAAAGTTTGGCCCATGAATCACCTGTCCCGAGTAATCTGCCTTCGTGTCAACTCAGTTAAAAATGTGGACTTTGAGCCTGATTCCTAACTCACTGATGCAAATCTCTCTAGATGAGGACTGGGAATATGTATTTGAAGCAATCCACCAACTAGCATATAGTTGAAACTAGCATATATATATATATATGTATATATATATATAGTTATATATATAGTTATATATATATAGTTATATATATATAGTTATATATATAGTTATATATATATAGTTATATACATATATATAGTTATATATATAGTTATATATATATATAGTTATATACATATATATATAGTTATATATATAGTTATATATATATATAGTTATATATATATATAGTTGAAACTAGCATATAGTTGAAACAAGGTCATTAAATGAATCATGGGAATGTATTGCCTAATACAGTGCCTGATAAATAGTGAGACTAAAGTCATATTGTTTTCTTCCTTCTTCTCTAGTCTTACTGTCAAGGAGTCTGAGGCACAGAGAGGATGTGACTTTCTAAAGTACACAGAGACAGAGACCCCTGAATCAAAGCTTTCTGCCTTCTGCCTAGACTATTTTCATACCCCTCATCTGTCAGGCAATCTCTCTAGTCACCAAAGACAGCCACCTCTCAAACATGATCTTTTGAACTCCACTTTGAGAATAGGTATCTGGTCTGCAGTATCCCTTTTGAGAAATGCAGTGGGATTCAGCCAAACGGCTTCTAAGACTCTTTTCCCTGCTGTAAGCTCTCCTTCCTGGTTTGGTTTAACCATTTGTTACAGACAGGGAAGTTGAAACCAGAGAAATTCAGTTAGTTGCTCAGTCACTCCTCTTTAAACCCCAAAGCTGGAGGCTAGAAATGAATCCTAGGCTAGACCTCTGGATATTACTCTTGGCCCTTGTGTCCATGTATTAGCTGTGGAGACCTTAATGATTTTACATTGAATTGTGATAACTGACTTTTCTGTAGAACATGCTACATCATTTTCAGGGCTCCTGCCCCTGCCTTAAGTAAGAAGGGATTATAGTTTGAAGAGCTGAGATAGATAGATACATTCGATGCTGTATATTAAAATATGATTATTTTACTATGGGAAAAATGAAAATAGTTTCTATAAATTGTATAACTATGGCAACTTTTAACAAAACTGTAGAAGCATTTTAATCCTGTAACAATCTTTTACTGATTGACTGATAACAGCAAACAGTTACATGGCACTTATCTTGTATTTGCATACTGTTTCAAATGCTCACTGAATCCTCAAACAACTCCATGAGGTAATAAACATCAATTACATTTTATGTTGGAGAAAACTGAGGCAGAGGCAGGTCCAGTAAGCTGCTCAAGGCCTCACTGCTGGTAAGTGATACAGTCAGGATTTCAACCCTGACAGTCTGGGTCCAAAGTCTGTATTCTCAGCCACCACATTTTAATGGACAAAGATGCAATCACTGAGCAGGCAGTTTTATTTCCTTATTTTTTTTACTGAATGGTGTAGACAGCTTTGGAAGATCTGAGATTCTGGATACCATTGTGTAGCCCTTCCTTCTGTGAAGATCAATAGCTTACTAACTAGAAATTGGTGTTTGAGGTTAGTAGCGTTAGTCTTATTATAATTACTAATCTCTATAGTCTATGTTCATTGGATAGTCTTCTAAGTAATGTGTACATTTGGAAAGGATTATTCATTGGCAACAGAAGGTTTTATGGGAGGGAATTATTATAAAGAATGTGAACTCCCAGCTTCCGGGTAAAGACACCTCTTTGGGGAAATGACAGAAATGCTTGCTCTTTGGCTTAAGAAGACAATGAAATTATAGTACCAATACACAGCAATTGCTTTTGCAAAATTTTCTTACCTAAGCAAAATCTGCAAGTTCTAGTGTCAATACACTTTGGAGTACAAGAAGGGTAAGTTGAGAAATTCACTTTCTGCAGAAGAAAGGAAGACCCGACTCTCAGACTGGTGTGTTGAAAATAGCCAAGTGCTCTTTGCTCAGCCCTAGCAGAGGTCAGCCACTGTTACACACTGCTCTCTGGTCACTAATCCCAGGGAATTTTTTTTTTTTTTACTTCCTTTTCATAAGATGACTTGCACATTAATAGTTACTCAGTGAATGTTTGCTGACCAGGCATAGAAAAGCAGTGAAACCAAATCAACCCAGATATAAGAAAGTAGAACACCAAAGCTTTAAGCCAGAGAGACCTCATTTGAAAGACTGGGAGCCTGAGAAGTGTTAGCTCAAGAAGGTTTGCATGTGCACGGCTCCAGGGAGCTGTATCATTGAGGGAGAGAAAGGTGGGCAGCCTAAAATCCAAGCTGAGATCAAGAGTTCTCTTACTGTGTCCAGTCTGTGAAAGGGCCCTCATCATCCAGTAGGGGGCACCACTCTTGCCTCAGCCAAGTGACGGCTAGCTGGCCTGCTCTGCCTGTCGGTCCCCGAAGCCGTACCTTGCTGCAGTCTCTGCAGTTCTTTCTGGAGCTGTCTCTGCTCCCTGGTCAGAGACTTTACGTGGTACAGGCAGATGTCCTCTAGTCTCTGCAGGCTTTGGCTGAGTCTGGCTTCAGCCTGCTTCGCGCTTTTCCTCTCCAGATCGAAGTGCTTATGCAGTGGTCCCCTGACCATATGCCTCTCCATTCTCTTCATGATCTAGAGGCAATAGAACAAGAGTCTCTCAGGCACTGTGTCAGACCTGATAAAGCATAATGGGAACCCTGACCCTGGCTTTTAACTGGAAGATCAGTGTTTGAATCTTGAGTATTTCTGAATACATAGCTGCCTAATCAGATTAAGGTACACTATTAGAAAACTTTTCCCTGTCAACTAAAAAATTATTCACAGCCTTAAAGTTGAGAGTTATGTTTTACTCAGTGGGAATTTTTAGAACTTCAAGCCTGGGAGGCAGCATTTCAAGTAACCCTGAGAAAACTGCTTTGAAGAGAAGGTGACATATACATATACATATATCCTAATATATAGTTAGGGTATATAGGGGTTTGCAACAAAAGGTAGGTGGTGGGAACAAAAGATGACTGTTAACAAAAGAAAACCAGATATCTCAAGTTAGAGAATTTAGCGGTTTTCTTTGTATGGGAAGATTCAAGACTCTGGACTCACTGAAATCATTCCTTTACTATACACCTCAGCTATCTGGGGCTAGTATCCTGTGTTTTCATGTTCTGAGTTTCCCTAGGGCTCACTATGTGGAGTGACTGCAATCTGATAGCTGCTAGATAGCAGATATTTTTTCCTTCCTGAGTTCCCTCAGGGCTAACCAGCTCACTAGTGTCGGTGACTGCAATTTCTGATAACTGTGGCAATCTTTGTTTACTGATATGGCAGATAATATTTCATTTATCAGCCCTACAGTAACATGATTTTCCAGAGTGACATGGAAGTATCTAGGGCAAAGTCATTTCTCTGAGCCTTAGTCTCCTTGCCAATAAAAAAGTGATAGATTATAGGCTTTGTATATAACCCCCAATCAGGTTGCTACGAAGATCAAGTGAAAAGTACATGAATAAATTTTAGGGTAAAAATTATAAAAACACTTTACAGATGTAAGCCATCATGCGGCCTGTAATACTACCATGTGCCAGGTGCTATACAGAGGGCTGAGGGTAGTGGTGAATGAGACACAGTTCCTGCTTTCAAAGAACTTTTAGATTTACAACTCTGGAGTCTAATGTTGTTGTATAGCCGCTAAGTCATGTCCAACTCTGTGACACCATGGACTGTAACCTGCCAGCCTCCTCTGTCTGTGGGATTCTCCAGGCAAGAATACTGGGGTGGGTTGCCGTTTCCTTATTTCAGGGAATCTTCCTGACCCAGGGATCAAACCTGCATCTCTTGTGTCTCCTGCATTGGCAGGCAGATTCTTTACCACTGAGTCATTTGGAGTCAAATGGTGCATGTCAAATCTGAACAATCAACATTTCAAAAGGTGAGGAGAGTGGGATCTGTTGGTTACAGAACAGTACGGGCATCCAGAACAAGTAGTCTGGGTAGCTGAAAGGAGCTTATCTTCCTCCTCTGGCTGTGTTGCACTAATAGGCAGGGACACATCTTTCCTCCTCTTTGCTTCCTTCTCAATGTGCATCTCAGAGCTAAATGCACAATATGTGCCCAGGATACAAATGGATTACTCTTAATAAAGCTTTGGTGATAATAACACAGGAAAAAGCTTAGCATTAACAGGGGGGATAAGGTCAGGACACAGGAGGGAAAATTCTAAGACAGCTAGGTTTTAGTCTAAAATGTAGACTAAACTTTTATTAAAGAACACAATGAGTAGTACTTACCTACAAATCCAGGGTTCTCACTGTGAGAATGCTGCCTGCTTCTTTTGCTATGCCCGGCTGAGTTTTGAAAATGAGGTTGTTTTTCTTCAATAAATGTAGGAGCTTGGTGTTGGGGAGGTGGGGAGGTGAGTGGGAACTTTGGAGAGGGTTGTGGGGAGAATGTTGAGCACACTTGAAAGCACTCTTCCATGCCACCTCCCTCATCAGGAATGCTAAGTCCATGAATGCGGGCACCAATCCCAGAGCCTGAAGTAGCTCCACGAGTTAAGGGAGCCTGCCAGCCTCCAGCCCTCCCCTTGATGGGCCCACAGTGCTCCTTCCCGGCAGTATCCATGGGAGCCAAGAACGAAACCAAGGAGTGTCTTTCGGTGTTCTCCCCACCCCCTTCCACTCTGTCCTTCTTCTCTGGCCGTATTATTCCCCACCTCCCTCACAGTGTCAGTCCTACTTCTTGGAAACCAGATCAGGTTCTAAAAGAGGACACTCTTTTTTTTTTTTTTTGTCAGATTGTACACATTTTGTGCAGGAGAGTAATTTGTTTATTTTGTATTACCACATTCTGTACTGACTTTCTCTAGGCTTCTAACCAAGTATGTACTTCAGTACTTATTTAAGGTTTTGAGAGTTGTCACAACAGACAAGCAAAGTGAAACTTAAATCAACTTTTGTTATCATATATTGGACTCTGTGATAGAAGGCCAGCTGAACTATTGATTGTGGAACAAGATATTAAGTTTCACTGTTGATATTAAGATTCTTACTGTTGCCTTAAGGCTTCGTCTGAAAACGAGAGGCATTAATGTGCCACAGTCTAAAGAGAACTGTCAACACCAGGACCTATTAATTCCCCCAGAGCTTACTGAGAGGCAGCTAAATAGACCCTATTACCCACAGTCATCACCTAGCAAACAAGCTATTATAAGGAGATTACTGACAAAATGGAGAGGGAAATCTATTATTCTCTCTGTAGGAGGTAATGCCTTTCCCATTTCTTCCCATGAGGTAATTCTCTCACCTCCAGAATTTAAATGAATGGAATGGGGTTCCAGGAGATGGGGTTTCAGAAAATGTTGTGCCTATACTTCATGGCAAATAGATGGGAAACAGTGGAAATAGTGACAGATTTTATTTTTTTGGGCTCCAAAATTACTGCAGATGGTAACTGCAGCCATGAAGTTAAAAGATGCTTGCTCCTTGGAAGAAAAGTTATGACTAACCTAGACAGCTTATTAAAAAGCAGAGACATTACTTTGCCAACAAAGGTCTGTCTAGTCAAAGCTATGGTTTTTCCAGTAGTCATGTATGGATGTGAGAGTTGAGCTATAAAGAAAGCTGAGCACTAAAGAATTGATGCTTTTGAACTATGGTATTGGAGAAGACTCTTGAGAGTCTCTTGGACTGTAAGGAGATCCAACCAGTTCACCCTAAAGGAGATAAATCCTGAATATTCATTGGAAGGACTGACGCTAAGGCTGAAACTCCAATACTTTGGCCACCTGATGCAAAGAACTGACTCATTTGAAAAGACCCTGATGCTGGGAAAGATTGAAGGTAGGAGGAGAAGGGGACAACAGAGGATGAAATGGTTGGATGGCATCATCGACTCAATGAACATGAGTCTGAGTAAACTCCAGGAGTTGGTGATGGACAGGGAGGCCGGAGGTGCTGCAGTCCATGGGGTTGCAAAAAGTTGGACATGTCTGAGCAACTGAACTGAACTGAACACAAGAAGAGACTGACACCTCCTTCCCCAGCTGGAAACTTGGTGAATTGCAGGACCACAGGTCAGCCCCCACTCCAACCATCTGTTGCCACCAGAGCTGATAGGGAGAGATTCTTAGAAAACCTTGGTTACTTCATGTCATCTTGGGAGAAAGAGATGAAAAGGGAAGGCATGCAGAAACAATTCAAGAACGAACGTCAGTGTGTGAGCCTGGGAAAGGAATGGTGGCCAAACTCATCCTAGTACCTGCTGGCCCTTCGAGTGTGTCAAAGCGGACTCTAGCAGTTTCCCTGCTTGGTGTGAAGAAGCATAGAGATTATATAAGGGAGCAGAAACCATGGCATTGCCCTTGGAAAACTCTAGGTCAGATACAGTAGTCCTTTACTCAGAGCAGGGCAAGGGGGAGTGGTGACAGCAGGAATCTCATTAAAGGTGATTTTTTGCTCATATCAGTAAATAAGGATGTCACAGTCATCAGTGATTGCAGCTCTCCAGTGTGGGCCTTGGGGCCTTGGGGCTCTGGGAAAGGAGAAAAATAGCTGCAATCTCACAACCGTCAGACCGCAGCCAATCCCTACAGTGAGGCCCGAGGGAACTCAGGACGTGAAAGGACACAGGATCCTGGCCCAGGGGAGCCGAGAAGGAATGAGTTCGGTGAGCCCAGACTCTCGCATCTTCCCCCACACAGGAAAGTGCTAAATTCCTTACCTTGGGATATCTGGTTTTCTTTAATTAGCAATAATCTTTTGATGTTCAGACCATGTGCCCCTTGTTACAAAACATCTGTGTAACCTGTTTCTTCCCCTTGCCTCCTCAGAGCAGATCTCTCAGGCTCACTTGAGATGCTGTCTCCTGGGTTTGAAGTCCTAAAAGTTCTCATTGAATAAAACGTAACTGTCAACTTTTAGGTTGTAAATATTTTTCAAGTTGACAAAAACAACATATCTTAAGAGCAGAGCACAGCAAGAGCACATGGATTATGACTGATTGAGGAAAGACCAGTAGTACCTCAGCCCTACAAAAGTATGAGTTATACAAGAACTATATTGTTCCCCTTCTCCAAGTCCCTTGGAGTCCACTGAGCAAAGGGTTTAAAGGATTTAAAGGATCAAATAAAGGGACCTTTATTTGAGATTGGAACTTCAACGTGGACTGGAATTATTTTTTTACTACCAACATGGCCAGAAAAGTGTAGGATCTGTCTCTGATATCATTAAAGGACAAGAACAAATAAAAAAGATAATGATTTGAAATATAAAGCTCTAATTCCTATATCATGTCCCTGATATCATTACTAGGGAAAAGAAGTTTAAATTGCTCCTTAACATGAATTTTACAGAATGGATGTTATTTATTCACATTCATATACTTATCTGTCTCTGTATTATATGGAAGCAGCATTCTTTTGTAGTCAAATACATCTGAAATCAAATAATCATTCTGTCATTTAATAAGTTATATGACTTTTTTCATGAATTCTGCCATATCCCCTACTCTTCTTAGCTATGAAAAGGGTTATAATATCTTCATCATAGGGATTCTGGTAGAATTTAATGAAAGAATGAATGCAAAGTGTTTGGTACATAGTATATGTTCAGTAAACATTAGTCCCAGTTTCTAGC